CTTGGACTTGGGCATGAACACCAGACCCCACCCACCCTAGGCAGAAGGACTACAGCTCCTCCCTCCCCATATTTCATCCACGTCCTGGCTAGAAAGAAAGGATAAAGAGTTGGGAGGGAGCAGTCCGAGTCTGACAGAAGTAAGCTGTTGTGGTAACGGTCTGTCCTGGCTGCTTGCCGTGAACCCCTGACTTGCTTCTCCTCGAAGCCCTCCTATTACAAGCCTTCCTTGGAGTCCAGCCTCTTGCCCCTGTGCTGCAATGGTAGGCTCTCCTCAGACATACGTATTTCATCTCTGAATTGCAATAAGGGAATATAACCGTGGGATTCCTACTTCTTTTTTTGCCCTAGGTTTTCCATTCCTGTGGATTGGATACTGTTGTGGGGAAGGTTGGGAAGGAGGAGGTGCAAGGTCCCTAGAGCCTGGGGCTTTGATGGCCGGGTCCTCATCGTCCCTGTGCCCAAGGAGAAGGGGTCAGGGCCAGAGGAGGTGTAGCCACTGCCCTTTGATTCGGGGATGAAAGGGGGTTGTGCGGCTGTGCGAGCTCCAGGACCGCCAATGCCCAGACATGGCTAGTCTGAGGGTCCGTCTGTTTTCTCTGCTGGAAGGACCCTGAGGCCCATCTGGTTCACCCACTCAGATGTTGAGAGTGAGCCAGAGAGGTCATGTGACCTGGCCAAGTCACACAGCAAGTTACAGAAGAGCCGGCTAGAACTAGGTCTCTTGATTCCCCATCTGTGTCCTTCCCCTACACTACAAGCCTCTTCTTCCTGAAGCAGAGTGGTGAAAAATAACAAAGAAGGGGAAAGAGCCAGGCTAAAGGGCCACAGAAGCAAACATGAGAAAGCGTTCTGAAAAAACATGGACAGGTTCTTATTTTTATACGTCTCACAGATCTTACATTGCAGAGAGAGGGATTTAGGATAGATGGAATCAGGATCTTCCTGGAAGAGATGGGGGATGAAGGATGTGACCAGGACCAGAGTGGCTTTTGATCTCTTCTAGGAGAGAGACAACAGCCTACTGTCCCCTAGAGGCAGGTGGATGAATGGTGGGGAAGTTGGGGTAGATGGCCCCCTCAGCTCCCCCTGCTTCTTCTTGCTTAATCATATTTAGTATCCATACTTTACAGATGAGAAAACAGGCTCAGAGGCTTGCCCAAG